CCGGTTTAAAACAATCCGGACAATAAGCCTCTCAAGGGTTATCCGGTTTACACTAATCCGGACAATAAGCCGCACAAGGCTTGTCCGGTTTAAATACTTATCCGGTCACTCCTTGTCCGGATAAGTACTTAAACAATATAATCAAGGTTTCTTTCCAAAGGATATCAATACGAAACATTCAAATAAAACCAGTAGAATCTTTATACAAAAAAGTTTAGAAACCACTCACCTTATAAAGCTTTTGAATCCAAAACGTTAGAAATCAACCCTTTTGAAACTTGACACTTGAAATCAACTTGAAATCACCTCTCTTTTAGCAAACCGGACAACACTAACTTTAAAGCACTCAACTTTCTCAAAATAGCAGGGAAATGAATGAGGAGGTGAAGCCCCCCTTTTATACCTTCCAAATATGGAAGGTCGGCTAACCGTCTTCCATACCCCCTATGCTACCCACATGCATTCATGCATACACATATGCATACATAATTTTGCATGCATAAAAATATATATATATATATATATATATATATACTTCTATATTTATGCATACATAAATATGCATACATATAAATATATATATATATATATATATATATATACCTTTACCCAAATAAATGCACAAATTCGCATACCAGCATGTATAAAACATATCAGTTTATCATGCAATCACACAATCAATTAATAAAATAATCACGTATTAAATTCTTTGGGTAATAACCAGGATCTAGTTATCACAACAATCTTGAATACATTCATCGCTGAGACAATTTGAGCATACATCAGGAGGAAAGATGAGATTGAAATCTAAAGATTTGGAACATTGAATAGCAGAGAATTTGAAAGAATGTTTAGGCATAACATTTGATCTAAGGGTTTTTCTGTGTGTTTTGAATGAGCACTTGTGTATCCTTTTATAGAAAGATGCTTGAGTAAAAATGACTGACATTTGTCTTTCATCTTGAGCAATTATTGATCTTGAAACCGACACGTTTCCTTTGAGCAATTATTGAATTTGAAATTGATTGAAGAGCCATCGACATAAAAAATCTCTTTCTCTAAAGTCTTTTGTCTTCATTGCATGATAATTGTCTTCTTTTTGACCTTAACGTCTCTTCAAAGCTTTATCATCTCTTCTTTTGAGTAAAGTAATCTTTGTGTCCTTTTCTTTAATGATGAATTCTTCAATAATGAACAACTGATGAATCTATCTTCAATAATGAACAACCTGCAATAATTTTGATAAGATAATAATTTTGAACAAGATGTTATCGAAAATACCAAAGAGTGTATTTCACGTATTTTGATAAGATATATTTTGAATAGATACAAAGGATTGCTTGCAAAAGCAATAACCCAAACACACAACACTTTTGAAGATTAAAAATCTTCGTAAGGATCTTGACTGTCTTGGAATAGACTTTGAGACATGGTATTTGAGCTGGAGGGAGAACTACTTGATGGAGAGCTTCCTCGTTTAATTTCTTGAATAAGTCTTTTTAATTCTTCTTTTGAATCAGCAGCTAGAAATTGATTAATTTCCTCTTCTTCTTCCTTGTTCTGGCTTGATGTTGATGTAATGGAAGCCAGAGCACCGAAAGTAATTGAATAATAATCAAGAACTCCTTGAACAGTCATCTTCTGCATTTAATCAGTAGGATTTCTTTCCCACCACTTTACTCTGGAAATCTTTGTAGCAATGGAGGGGAAGTACCATTGGCATCAGCGACCTTAAAGGTCCATGACATGATCCAAGGTATTTTGAATAATATCGTAAATTGGAGCATATATTCAAATTCTGTAATCTCTTGAACAAAGATTTCTTTGAACTTTTTGAATCCTTCAGCTACCCTTATATATATATATATATATATATATATATATACTATCTTATTAAGCAAATTTAACAAAAGTCTTAAAGTCTTAAAATTCTAAATGACCAAAATACCCTTTATACTCACTTTTTCACTTTTTCACCTCCTCCTATTCTCACATACACTCACCCTCTCACATACATTCACCCTTTAACAACCTATTTTTTTTTAAATCTTAATTTTAAATTTACACTTTATATCACTATAATTAATTAATTTACTTTACGTCATTTACTTTTAAATGTTTCATTTTAAACCTTTATCAAATTA